AGCCGAGATTGACATTGGCAGTTTGGTTCCAGGACTTGGTCAAGTCTGTGATTGGTCTCAAATGGGATCCGATCTCGAAGAATTCTACGATTTCTGCGTCGAATTCGTTGATCTGCCATGGGGTGAACCCGATGCTCCTGTGTGTAGTGATGGTTGGTGGGCCACTTTCCTTTTCCAAACTGAGTTCGATTTTCATTTGGACACAGATGAAGAAGCTGGACCTGGGATTGCACCACAACCTTCTTCCCCCGAGGAAGAATCGAGGACTCGTTTGTTTGACAGTGTAGTTGAAATATTGTACAGACAACTTGGTGGTGATCCGTATCTTGTTTGCGAAACGTTTGGATCCCTCCTTCTGGCAGACACAGCAGATGTGTGGGAGTTTGGAAAGTCTATGGCCAGGAATATTTTCAATTCATTTTTCTCAAGTGAAACACTGTCTGACAAATGTTTACGTTATTACCGTAACGAGTCCTCGTCTGGTATTAGCCCATCAGGATTCATGGTCTTTGACGAGTCAGAGAGACTCATTTCTGAGTTGTCAGGACAGTTCAGAAATGGAAGCGATTTCTGTAATTTCATCTTGAGCTTTGAAGACGGCCAAGAAAGGTGGAGTTCAGTTGTTGCCGCAGCAGTGGACGGTGCCTTCAATATCATGAATGACGTCAGCTTGTGTAATTCCTCCCTTCATATTCTTCTTGGCAGCGATGGCCTAGCTACATTCAGGAATGTGACGGGTTACGAACAGGTAAACGCATTCTGTGCCTATCTACGTGACAGTTTTAATGAAAGAATAAATGTCACAGACTTTGAGTTACAACTTCCTGCCAACTTCAACATTACCACCTACAAACCTGCAGATGGAGAATTCCTTCCTGGAGTTACGGTCCAAGATATAGTGTCCCTAGCAGGGGCTCTGTTCACGACGAACAAGTTTAACGAGAGCATGATATTGGCATGCAACAGGCTGAGCCCACTTTTGAATGACCAAGTTTTTGCGGGTTTGGGCCATTTCGCTTCCTTGTGTGATGCCATCAATCAAGGCAACATTCACAGTGCAGTGTCGCAGTGTGAACAGTTACTGGTTCCGCAGGTGTATGGTGCCGATTACCCACTCGCTCTGCGGCATGTTGATTTTGGCCAACTGCTCCTCGAAACCATCCTTCCTGCCTTCAACTATGTGCCCCGTTTTGAACAAGATGTCATCTGTCCTGCCATTGAAACTGTCCTTAATTCTGACACAAGTCCACAGGCACTGGCCACGATTGCGATAAATGGTCTGTTGAGGTCCGGAATCGAATACGGAGCTGGTATTTGCCAGGATATTGAAGGAGTGCTGAACTACCTCGCTCCAGATATCAGCTGGTTGGGAGACCCATCTGATCCTAGCTATGACGCTGTTCTGGCACAGGAACAGCTACAATCAAGACTTGAGTACCAGCGTTTCTTCTACGGACTTTTCGACTTTGCTAGCACTCTGGCCGGCTTCGAGAGCTACGAACTAATGTGTGCTGCCCTCATTGACGCAGTTGCTGACCCAGGAACATTTGATGCTCTGATTGATCTCATCCGGGAAAGGGCATTTTCATACCTCACTGACGAAAATGAGTGCAAGATAGCTGTTGAGGCTACGATGAGCTTCATCAACTTGGCATCTCCAGAGACTGCATCCAGTAACCTGTTGTACCAAGTGACTGGCTACTACAGCCCCCAGGCCTTCTGCATCGCATCTGCAGCTGCATTCCGTGGAGAAACCAGCAGTGAACAGGGTAAGTGACAAACATTCAGTATTTGGGGTTGAAATCAGCTGTTTTTAATGTTTAGATGCATAGGTGTCGTTACAGAGATGATCTCTCTCCCTCTCCTTTTATATATTAAATTAAATTCATTTTCTGTCTGCTAAATCATGCTTTTGTCTGGGAAGGGGGCATTAGAAATAAAAAAGCGAAAGGAAGAAAAAGAAGACAGGTTCAAAAACAAATCCCGGCTTGCATGGTCGATAGACCTCTTCACTAATAAAATCATAATTATGCACGCATGCGCACAAATGCCCTTGGAAGCAAGAAGTGTGAGCGGGCCATTGAAAATTTACAGGGGTGCTACTTTGATGATGATTTTCTCTCAGGTTTTGTGGCTTTGTTCAGGTTTTTCTTCACAAAATCCCATTAAATCGTGTTTGCCATTAGTTCGTAAATAGCTTACCCTTGAACTTGATCGTAGCTTGGAGTACTACCAAGCGAAATGGTAACCACTTGTTGTGTTTGGGGTTGTGCAAGACAAAGTGCAGATTCCATAGAGAAAGACATCTGGTTCTTCAGATTTCCCAAGTGCAGAAAGCAGCGAATCGAATGGGTACAGTACGGTGCATAACATCAGTAGGCCCTACGTGTTACAAATGCACAGGTTGGCTCCAAGAACACTCGCTTACAATTTAGTTTATACTTCTTGTGATGGAAAAAGACCATACTAAGAAACGGCAATTCCGTGCGCACAGGCAAAATTACGATTATAGAGTCATCTTACAGAGCACTAAAAATTCCACTTAAATTAGAAACTAATCTCGAAAACGATCTAATGGGATTTTCTGAAGAAAAACTGAACAAAGCCAGAAAACCTGAGAGAAAATTATCATCAAAGTTGCATCCCTGTAAATTCTCAATGGCCCGCTCACACTTCTTGCTTCCAAGGGCATTTGTGCGCATGCATGCAGAATTATGAATTTATTAATGTAAAGGTCTACTGGCAAATTTATACCCTTGGCGAAACTCAGTTTCCTATTCAGAATGGTTTAGCGACGCCAGTGACGAACCAGTTTTAGATATCTACAAGACTTTGTTAATCGCTTCGCCATCAATCGGTCAAATATCTGGATAGATATGCCCATAATGCCGATCATGCAGCATCCAGTGTTTTAATGTCTTCGTTGGTGCTAGCTTACATACAGCTTTTGAGTATTATGTTGAAAAGAGGAAGAGGGGTTGAGATTTTTCAAATGATCAATCACTGGCCAAGTGCGACCGACCAATCCCGATCCCTGTAATTATAATATCAAATCTTCCATTAAGGGGGTTATATGATTCAACATCTATAGTAAAGATTGCGGTAACATCATGTATTTATCTCTTCTTTGAGTATGTGTGGTTCTTTGAGTATGTGTGGTTCTGAGAAGAACCGGGGAATAACTCGACGTTTCGAACAGTGTACTCTGTCCGTCTTCAGGAGACTGACATACTCAAAGAAGAGATAAATACATGGTGTTACCGCAATCTTTACTATAGATCTAGTTTCTTTCACCATGAAAACCTTTAAGTCTTATATGATTCAACATGTCAATTATGCCGTCTTTTTTTAAATCTGGAGTCGAGGTATTTTTCCAGATACATTCAAGGACCATATAGCTCAGTATACATGTACATGGTACAGTACATGTATTATTTATATTTATTCAGTATATACATGCATAATGTGCAATTGTGAAACCAAATTGCAAATTTTATTTTGCTTCACAAATTTCTGAATGTAATCACATGTGTTTCAAAAAATAACAGATGGCATGAGGAATCCAAATTTCAGTGAGATCGTTTTTACTCCAAAAACGTAAAGAGAGAACGTACATTGATTTTGTACAACGTCTTATGGATTTGCTTTAATGACAAAAGGAAGTGCGGCAACAGAAATATCCTGATTGCTACGAAGGATTTTTAAAATTTAGAACAATTGTTATTTAATCAGAATCTCTTATCACTTGAGTTCAAATCTATTTGTATGTCGATATATACAAGAAGTAACAACATACAAAAATATCTGCTTCAGGCTTAAATTGACACTGTTTTCAAAGATGACTCGTTTGCAGGTTAAATCTCCTGTATAGGCAGGCCAATAGCTAAGAAGTTAAACGACCGCACGATAAAGGTTTTTAAAAGTGTCCGATTCAGTTAGGTCCGTCTGAAAATGAACGACAGGTCTCATTATCATAAAATCCTAATCCTCGGAGTCTGTAACAAACACTGGCAGGTTCTCATTAGCACAGTTCAATTATTTGGGTCTGAAGTGAAGAAACTAACTCATCGCACGTGTTTTAATTAAGCTTTACAAACTCAGTGTGTAACTTTGAGTTCAGTATGAAGTCACATCATTTGCTCCATCTATAATGCTTCCTGCCATAAGATTGGAATGGATGAAGAGAAAGTCCTACTATATTTGAGTCAAACGGCGGGATCCATCCTTTGTCATTTAAAGCATAACGCCGAACTTTCTTGAGACCCAAGAAGGGCCCGACATTGCCAGGTTTCATCCAATTCTCTACCTATGTACAGTTGCCCAGCTACCGCATTTCAAACAAGTCTCTGTTTGTTGACACTGATGCGTGTTGCCCTTCCAGGGGATTTTTCCTGTGAATAGGAAGCAAACAGAAGTTGACGGGCTAAATGCCTATCCGGTAGCCGCTTCTCCACTGACGAAAAAAAAAAGAAAGAAACGCTGAGTATTAAAGCAAAGTCCTCTTTTGTCATTTGGGATGCGGGTTGTTTGCACATATTTGCATGCAGCGGACTGTCCTCCAAAGAACTTATTCAAGACCCACATTATGAAAAAGTGGACCTTTTTTAACACCGAGCTGTTGTCTAGATTCAAGGGGCGTAGACACAAACAACTGCTGTAGGGTTTACATGGTATTGCAAATAAAACAATATGTTCCTCTTTATCTGGAAGTGGAAACCCAACATGTTCAGTTATGCCTACAGTGGACCTTAGACTAACAGTGTTTTCACAGTTCTAAGTGAAAAGAAAACATCTGTACGCGACCACTTAATCAAACCAAAAATGTTGCATAAGGCAGATTTTCTGAAAGTATTTGCTCAACATTGGAAATTTGTCCAAGCAATATAAATTTGATTCATTCATATCAAGACAGAGGAAGCAAACAAACTTAAATGACAGTCCCTGTTAAAAGAAATAAAAAAACTGTCCATCATGGTGGCTAAAAGGCAGGTGCTGTAAAAAACAAGCTTCCCCCCCATCACTCATCACAGAAGCATAAACACATTATTGCAAAATGATTAGATTATGTGCCTTACACATTGCAATTTTTGCAATTACATTCGGTTTATGTCTTTGTCAGTGTGTTACTTAAATCATAACTTATACATGTATATTGATTCCATGTCACAGAATATACTCTGATAATATCAATGCTTAAAATAACTGTACCCTAAAAGAACTTTACGAAAATAGAAAGTGATGAACTGGAAAGTAATCAAAAGCTAAAGTATGAAAAAGCCTGAAAATTTTATAAAGCGCTAGGAATCACAAGTTGAAAAGTCGTGGATAAAATATGTGAAAACAACTTCAGTAAATGATTATTATAACAATAACATTTTCATTAAAATCACTGCAGGAGATTTTCGTTTGTTTGCATTTGTTTCTTAGGTGCTGTAAACGTTTCCTCTGTCTTAACATTATGTTGTCAGTTCTTATGAAAACAGAAATATTTTACACATAGGGCCTATTGTAAATAGTTTCAATACCAATATTGACCCTGACAACAAATTCGAATAATTTTACACATCAAAAAACTGGTGTGTCTCTTAACAAAAACAACAGATTCCACCTCTTTTTGTTTTGTTACTAAGTACACAGCAGCTGTGCTCGCTAATGGAACAGTAAAGGAATCAAGTTGAACCATAGTGGTACTGGAAGTCCGGTATTGTTTGCACTGCATGACATTTAAAAATTCGACTCTGTTTCTATTTCTGCAATCCAGACACCTGTTTGGGGATCTTGGATTGTGCTGGTGTTTGCAACGGGGAAGCCGCAAACGACTGTGCCGGTGTCTGCGGTGGCAGCGCAGTGCGAGACTGCGCTAGTGTCTGCAACGGCGCGGCAACCATTAACAGCTGCAACTTGTGCGTCGGGGGAGTCACTGGCCGCCGGCAAAACTTTGGCCAGGACCGCTGCGGCACCTGCTGGTCGGATACCGACTACCGCATCACCTGGGACTGCCACGGCACATGCAACGGCACGGCCTTTTTGGACGCCTGTAAAGAGTGTGTTGGTGAGTTGCAGCAACTTTATTCCCATTCCTCCCCGGCCCCACCCAGTATGAGAAGCAAGACTGATAATGGCCTATAGCCCAGCTGCACTCCATTATTCTTTGAGAGAAATGTGATAAAAAGTAGTTGCACAGCCAGGCTCTTCTCGGGGAGAGGGGGGCGGCAAGAATCCCCATGGGGAACAGTTCCCCCCCCCGGCTACACCACTCTTGAAAAATAAAAATTTCCTCACTTTCAACCACGAGGTAAACAAAAATATCAACTGTCATCTTCTAACTTCTTCTTCGACACTGCCATGGCAACTTGCCTTTGAATGCATTTGTTTCTGTTTTTTCACACTGTATGCTTACGTGGGTGGTGTTTCCTCCCTCCAAGGTGGTGAGACAGGAAAGCCAGCTAACTACAACCATGAACACATTGATTGCCGGGGTGTATGCAAGGGCAACTGGATGGAAGATGATTGCGGATTCTGTGAGCCCTTTGACGAATCCTCCTTCGTGGCCAACAAGTACATGGACTGCAACGGAGACTGTTTCACACCTGGAGGTGAGTGCAAAGTACCAACAATCCCCTTCCTCAACAGGATTAATCTAAATGCTCTAAAGGCAGAAAAATAATCCACTTGGTCTGATGGAAACTAGTATTTGTGAAATTTACGTGAAATTCATTCAATCAATTTGGTTTAAATTGAAGTTGAGTTGTTTCTCTGTCAGATGGTTTAAATGAATAACAGTCATTTGAAGTCATCTTGTGTTGAGTGTCAGTAGCTGATACAGTTTTCTTGTCTTGGGAAAAGAGAAACACAGTTAAAAACATAAATAAGAGCAATTTCATCAATGACCTATTCTCAGATGAAACATCTTTCAGGCAAAATTAGTTTAAGCAACCTAGAGGGGCCTTTACTTAAGCTAAAAGCAAAATTTACTGTTCTGATCCATTGTTTCACTTCAAACTTCTAGCCACATCCAACAGGGCAGAGCTGAACCAGTGTAATGTGTGTTATGGAGGCAACACAGGATTGAATGAGACCAGTGGCATTAATGAATGTGGGCAATGCTTGTCTGACCCGTCTGCTGACGAGAGCTCCTGTGCTGGATGTGATGGAGTGCCCAACAGGTGAGAAAGAGCTCCTTTTGTATCATTTTTGAGGTTCACTTTCAGAAGTGTTGCAGTCATTTCCCTCACAATGCTTTGGTCAACGTAACAGAGTGAACAATGACAAAGGAAGGCTTTGTGACTGGACGACTGAGGATGGAATGACGTGGACTTTAATACATGGACCTGGAGGACTTATGATACACAATGATGCTAAGAACAATGATTTGCAGATAATTGGAGTGTATTAGTAAGACAGCTATCACCCTAAATTTAACATTTTAATTCTTTGCACACACTTGATATATGAAACAAATTAGTGACATCCAGTACAAATTTCCACAAAGTTGAGTATGTTTTTAAAGTTTCGTTATATGAGATGAATTTTTCAAGGTCATTTTTACGAGATATATTTTCAGAATCATTAGTATTTTTTTAATAAGTATCTTTTCAGTGAAATTTATTTTCCGAGTTTGTTTTTTATGAGAGATACATATTTTCTCAAATTTGTTTTCAAGAAATATAATATATTTTTAAATTCGTTTTTGTATCTTGCTAAAACAAACTTGAGAAGTATTACTGTTCAAAATGATTTTGAAAAACCGTGTTTGTAAAAACTATTTTTTTCAAAACTAGACAGTGTTTCTAAAAGATAATCTTCGAAAAACGAACTTCGAATTTCTTTTTTGTATAAACAAACTTGGAAAAAGTATAATTCACGTTTGAAAATGTATGTTTATGGCACTGGTGGGCTTTCGTAATGATAAGTACCTTTATGAGCTAATTTTCATATCCGATTTCAATCATTGTGGGTGTTTTTTGGTTGACAACAGTGGTCAGGTCAATGACGCATGTGGTGTCTGTGGTGGAACGGGTACAACTTGCTTTGGCGTTGGGTGGGTCATTCCTAATCTAGTGAATGAGAACTCGCAAACTCAGGTATGTGTAATAGCCAGTGGTGGTTTTCTTGCTTAAGTTTGGTTCCGCTTCTGTTGTTCATGTTTAAAAACCACTCAAGCAAGTAGCGAACTGACTAACTCAATATTCAATCATTTCCACAAATGTTGACTTTCAACAGGATATTTATCTAAGTCCACAGAATGTCGCCCGATTCTTTTCTACATTAATGTTAAAAAGAAATATCCGAGTGGTGTTAAGTTCGAACACAATTGCATTACACTTTTGAAATTGGAATACTTGATATGAGGATATATTTTGATTTTGAATGAATATTTTTTCTACTTTTCTAGCTCGAGGTGTATGGAGCTGGTTTTGAGGAGAGCTCCTCTCTGGTCTGCATCTTTGAAGACTCTGAAGGTACTCAAACATCAAGTGCCACTCAGTATGAGGACTACGTCAAGCTAACGTGCAACGTACCTAGCTTGGCTGCAGGTAGGCTGGGTTTGGTTATTCAGAGATTTGGCCATGCTTAATATTATGGCATGCAAGGCTTCTGGGACAGGGAGAACACAGGGACACGGTAACTATAAAGACTGTGTCCATAAGTGAATGTTATTTTTGATTTTTAAGGTGAAATTACTGAGAGACTGATGAGCATACCAAAACAAATGCTTGTGCTTTAAAGATGCTGTTGACCTCAAGAGGCCTCATTCAATTAATTCAAGGGGGTTAGGTTGGCATAATGGTTCTTTCCTCGTCTTCTACCTCTGTGGTCCCGGGATCGATTCCTGGCCAGGTCCACAAGTGGATTAGGTTTTCAGTTCCTACCTGATTTCGTGGGTTTTACCCAGAATATTCCTCTGGGGTTTCCCTCCCACCACTAAAACTGTAACTTCTTCCCATTGTCTCCTCTCTACAGGTTTCTACAGTACAGTACACTACCCTTTTGAGGAATCCTTGGTTTCATTACCAGAAAGACTTAAATAAATAAATAAATGAATTTGTTAATTTATGGTGACTACTGCAGCTGGACAATACTAACTGTGTTTGTTTTTCCTATGCAAAGGTGACTACAGGGTAAAAGTCGAACGTGATGGGCTCATTTCTGACAGCATTTACGGGGACCTGACCGTCCAGGCTGGTAAGTTTGAATTCCGCTGGAGAAATTTGTTTCTTAAACCCAGGTTAAAGCCAGAACATTTTCCATCAATGAAATTCATACCAGACACTCATTCACCTTTTGCAACTTTGATAAGAGAGTAAAAGTTTGATTAAATGGTTTTAAACAAGTACGTTTAAAATATTTTAAATTAAGTTTGTTGAACACTAGATAGGAGAATGAAGGTAACAGTGGACAGAGGAAAAGGTGAGTTTCAATTTCATCCCAACTGTCCACAAACTGTCTGACATATTTAAGAATGACAAATTTCAAAGAGTGGCTTTTGTTTCTTTCTTTTTAGAAGGCAATGTAACATGTTCAACACGTCTTGCACTGAGAATTGTTTCTCCTGTCTCCTTCTGTCTCCAGAAATCAACATCTTGACTGTTTCGCCTTCCGAGTTGACCATCAACAGCTCTGTGGACACTATCACCATCACAGCCACAGCTGAAGAGGGTGCTTTCACGGCGGTCAAGGCTGCCTCTGTGGTGCCTTCTCTGATCATTGAAGGAGGTCCGTTTGGCCAGGGAGCCTCAGGAATTTTTTATTCACCCGTTTGTCTTAAAATGACTTCAACTTTGCAGAACAGTGAAAGTGAAGAAGTTTGTTTTACACAAAATACACTACAATTGTCTCAGTACGTAGTGAAGAACACCACAAGCGGAAAGACGCATTTGATACAATTTTTCAAATTACACGATCACTTGAATCTAGGACAATATAAATAATATTGTGCATCGAGAAAGGCATTTCGATTTGAAACTATATAAGTATCCTGCCGCGCACCCGTAAACAGTTCGCTTTTTTTCAAATTTCAGTTGAATGACTTATTTAATCAATACTATAATGTTAAAAAACACAGACTGATATGACAGTGTTGTCTATAATCAACATTCTTACATTGCGTGCATTGGCAAGACCAGTTTCATTAGTTTCTTCACTGAAGTAAACTTTGGTATCTGTTTTTTCTCAACCACTCCATCCAGACTACAATGCAATTGTTCAGGGATCATTTGACGACAGTTCTGACAGTGTCATGTATTTCAGCATCCCAATGCCAAGCAGCTCCATGCGCGTCACTTTTTGGCCCTCGCTCAATGGGGTCGAGAGGCTAAACACGCCCGACGGTGCCGGCTTTGAGGCCACAGCTTACGCCCCTGCCCCGGAGTTCACTGAAGCTTATTTTGCATCGACAGGTTGGTGTTGCTAGACTGTATCAAATTCTAAGGGGTTCATCATTGATAGAATATTATCCCGACATTATTACAGCGACATTTTTCTTTATGAAAAGCCTATATGAAAAAAAGTTATGATTGCTTTTTAAACTTGAATCTTGGTTATATTTCATTTTGTTGTTTATGTTGCTGTATTTTTTTGTTTTTTGACAACAAAAGTCTTTTACTGCAGGTACAATAAGTGAAATAAAAGGTCAGAACACATGAGAAAAACCTGCTGTTAAGAAAAGGCTAAATATTCAAAAGAAAAAGGAGTTTATAGTTTGAGAAAATCAAATAAATATATTGAAAATTTTCTAGAGGATTTCAAGGAACCTATTGTGGGAGTTAGGGTTCCTTTACATATATTGTCATTCTCTCAAGTTTGAATGCAAATAATCTTCGATTGCCTGAGGAAGAAACAGCTGAATTCTGTTAAATAATTCCTCCACTCCGCTCTCCACGCACAGGTGCTGCAGTATTGATCAGGTTCAGCTCGGGTGTGAACTTTGACGACTTCAACGGCTGCGAGGATGTATTTGAGGATACCAGCAAGCTGGGTAGCTATGCTAGCTGCAGATGGGTGGGCTCTAGAACAATGTTCATCATCTTAGGCTTTGGCGACAATCTTTTGGCTGTCGGTGAGTTTGTCCGAGTGACTACAGTTAGTGATGCTTTGCAAACAAATAAAAATCAAGCGAGTAAAATACACAAAACTGTTTGGAAGAAGGAAAAGACATTGAATTTTTTGAAGACTTTTCTTTAGTAGGCCTACTTGTGCGAAATGAAAGTGAAAGTTGTTATTAGGAAAATGAGCCTGAGACCGAGTCTAAGACTGAGCTTGAGTAATTTGGGTAGTGTGTGAGTGGCTTCTGAAGTGTTGTGTTTAGAAACTAATTTTAAAATTCAAAACAGATCTCTAAGACGAGTGGTGCACATTTGCTTGGCTCTCCCGATGCACTGTAGGCCCTACGTAAAGTAAGCACCGACAAAGACAAATTTCTGAAAGACTTAGTTCAGACATTTTTATATCGAAAACTGAGTGCTGTTTTATCTCATAAATCAAAAGGAAGACTTTTATTTGCCAAAGCACGTGAAAGTAATTGACAATCTCAAGGTGGGCCTTTCCTTCCAATATTAAAGTTAGGATCATGGTGAGCAGAAATGTAATTATGATTCTGAATTCTGTACGTTTACCTTGACACCGTCAAAACAGGTGATGAACTGGTGATCAAGACCGACTCCATCAAGGCCTTCCGTGAAACTTATTCTCGTTACGTGGTGGGCAGCCGATCGGTAGCCGGGCCGGCTAACCCCGTGGTCCCCACAGTGGTGCTGTACGGCAAGCAGCGCATCACCAGTTGTGGCAGGATCAAGATGAGCGGTCGGCAGACCCAGGGTGGGGCGGGACGAGACATGGTGTACAGCTGGGCGGTGAGCAGTCAAGGAGAGACATCTGCCCTGGAAGCTGTGCTCTCAGGTACGTAGGCTTGCGGCAACCAGATCTTGGATGAGACAAAAACTCTTTTGTGGATAACAATTTGCATACAGTTGGTAAAAAGCAAAGCAGCTAAGTTGAACAGAGAATGCAATGCAAAATAAATCATACCACCGGATTTCTTGTTTAAAGCAGAAGAAAATGATTTTCAGTTGACCAACATTTGTTCATGACGCTTTTTGAAATGTGACGAAATTCAGGCCTCAATGACCACTTCAACCACTATATCATATTCCTGTAGTCCTGAAGCATAACGTCGTGTGAACCAGGTTAGTGTAGAACAAACAAACAGGATTTATGCACGTGTTGATACGTGCACTGTTTCTCTTGCTTCTGTCTCTTATATGCATAATTGTGCATGTGACGTATTCACTTTGCCTATGAAATGCACATGCATCTCATAATAAGAATAATGCTGCATCTAAATGGAATCTCCTAGGACTCAGGTATAGTTTTGAATTAACACACTTTGTTGTACTGATTTTTTGTCTGGCTTTAGGTGAAACTGGAGCCGACCTGGTTGCTGCAGGTAGTTTGATGGATGCAGAGACCATCTACACTTTCAGCCTGACCACACAGAATTTCCTGGGTGAATCGGACACAGCTACAATGAATGTGAGCCGCTCAGCCCTGGCCGTGCCGGAGGTCACAATCACAGTCAAAGGGGTTGATCCTGAAAATGTGTTTATCTCGGACAGGTAATCATGAGAGTATTGTGGATTGTTAACAATAGAGGAGCCGTATATCCTGAAGCGTTTGATCAGACAATCGGTTATTTGGTTTCTTGGCTAGAGAGTACCGAAGTAAATACCTCACATGCACAAAGATGTGAGTGAAAGAAAGCGCCAGGACCAGCACGTGAACCATGCGTGCGCGTGCTCCATTTGTTTGTATGGCATTTTACTGGTTCTGCATGACATCACACTTTGGTACTCTGTATTGCTGATGGTTATCATGGGTGATGATTCAGTGCTTTCGGTTGTCATGTGCAGTTTATCCTATTAACATATTACAAAAAATAAACAGTTTTGAGATGATTGTATTATTATGAACTATTTTGTTTTTAACTTAAAGAGTGCAAAAGCTCCAGTATTTAAGGTTTTGCACATTAATTATTTTTCACATTTTCACCAATTACATTCAAACAATGTGTAAACTTCCATGATAATAGTGAATTAAAGATGTCTATCTAATCATGAAATACATTCCTGGAGCAACGTATTTCAACTGTAGATGGTCTCAGCATTCTTTGTTTCAATGCTTTTCTTTTTTTAGTTTTGACCTGACGGCCGAGGTGACCTTCTACTCAGACTGCGTTCCCCCGGGCGACACAGTCTTTTTCTGGGCTGTTGATAATGAAGATATCCCATTAAACCTCAAAACCATCAACAGACGCACATTGCATGTAGACCCCAACACCCTCCCAGGTAGCGTCTATAAGCAGGGAATTGTAACTAATTACTGGTATCTTTATGAAGTTCTCCTCCAACACCCAAGATGTTACTCTTTGAGCCCTCAAATCCTCAGCCTGGCTCATTATCTGTGTAAAGATTAAGTTGGGGGTTGTAAGTTTTATTCATTCTGTTATATTGTATTATTGCTATGAATTGATTGCAGAATATCAATTAATGAAATTACTGATATTATAAATCAGCATTCCTTTCCTTCAGCAAAGCTTTAACAGAGGTATTGAATCAACTTTATATGCCTAGGTAATCCAAACGATTCATCTTGATAGGTCCCAATTAATGAAGTCTCGATGTGATTTACATTTTACTTGGCTCATTTCAGGAGACACAACGGTGACCTTCACTGTCGCCATCTACAAGTCCAGTGATCCCAGCAACAACATGACCCAGTCCTTCTCGGTGCAGACCCGATACTCCGATCTGATCCCCATCATCTTCGGCGGCAGTGAGCTGACCGTGGGCCGTGACAGCGGTATGCTGACCCTGGATGGCTCAGGCTCCTTTGATCCAGACCAGGTGGCGGTCAATATGGAGTATGAGTGGCTGTGCTCTCAGGTAGGAAATAACTTTAAATGTATTTCTGCATTTCAGTTTTGTTGAATGTGCTATACATAACATTGACGGTAGGTTAGAGATCTTAAGTAACTTTAAGTGCAATGTACAGATGAAATCTCAACTATATCAACTATATGTGGTGTCAACTGTCATGTGTTACTGTGTGTGTTGGTTATCACGTTGATATTGAAATATTGTCTTCTCAGCAGGTATTTGAGTCGATCAGTCTACGAAGGAGTATTTCTATGATATCATCAGTACATTATTACAACATCAAAGTTTTTTAAGTGATCCCATGGTCATATCACCATTTCACAAAATCTTGATTTGTTCATAACTTTTCGAGATGACCTGTACACAGACTAGGGCCTATCAGGCAGACAACATACAGCAGTGAAAATGCAACCTCCTTGCTGGAGGTGAAGATGATGTTGACAACAGATATAAGACAAACGAAAAAGAAGATAAGAAAAACATAGACAGACTGGTGCAAGGACGGATCCAGAACTCAAGATTTTGGGGAGCTAAACTAGTTTTTAAGCAGGCCAAAAAATGGACATTTTTCAAGTAAGTTTTGATGTCCTTTCTGAGGGGTGGGGCTACATTTCAGGGCTTTTTACACCCTTTTGTAGGAAGGGAAATGAAATACACCAAAAACTTCGCCTTTCTCTCATTATACACAAACAAATGGGCTCATTTTTTGGGGGGGGGCACGGCCCATCGGTCATCTGGATCCACCCTGGGACTGGTGATGGATGTATACAGAGACACTACAGTTTATTTGCTTATGCTCCCACTAACTTTCTCTGCATATTTATTTCATGATCTGAACCTCATCAGGTGACTGACAGCACAGCTTGCTGGTCCTACAAAGAAGGCGAGGCTGGCACCCAGTTCCCATCAGCCGAAGCGGCTGCTTTGAGTGTGCTGTCCATCCCGGCCAGCGCCATGCAGGCTGACAAGACATACGAGTTCACCCTGGTGGTGTCTAAGCTGACACGGTCCGCCTCGATATCGGTCCGTGTCACTGCCTTGAATGGAAACCCTCCAAAGGTAACGTACAACAGGAGATAAGTTGAATTGATTATAAGTCAAACTTAGTCGAGAAGGTTAAACTTCTCTCTCTTTTGGAATGGGAAATTTTGCTCTGTTTGACTAAAACAAATGATGAAATTATCTACGCAGAAGATTTATATTCTGAGTTAAGCCCGTTTTTCATGTTTCCTGCGAACATTTTCAATCTTACATAAAACTGATTTTGACTGTACATAATTTGTCTGAAGATAACTGAGTGATCAAAAGAACATACACTGAATGGAAATAAGAGATTGAATTGAATATTTGTTTTCTGTCGTTAACACAATTTTCTAACCAGATCTAAACCATTTTTCAAATGAACCTCTCTCATATTCTAATGAAAATAGAGGCTGCCGAGAGAGCTTAAGTTCGGATTAATAGTTGGACATAGAATAATTAAATGGAAGTGACAGGTGGAAAGAGGCTTGTAATTGATTTTCTAAGTTTTGTTCAGTGGGGATTAATTCATCACTTAGTTTGTTTAGCATTGTAATTTAGCATTGAAAATACCTTCTTTCGCAGGTTGACATTTCCACCATGTTTGATGAGCGAGTCTTGTCTGAGGACTCCCTCTCACTGAAAGCCAACATCTACCATGATCAACCCCTCACCAGCTATGTGTGGGAGATGGTAGGAACAGACGAAGGTGAGAAAAAAGCGTGCTTCTGTTTTTGTGGGTGAATGTCTCCCCGATTGCCAAGGGTTGTATTCATGTTGTTGCTGCATGCTTTCCAAAAATATCATTGTTAAAAACTACCATCAATATTTCTCCTTTTTACTGTATTGAAATTTGTTATTAAAACTTAATCAACCAGTTTTTATAGACTTTTGCGGTAATGAACCTCTGTGTAGTTGGCATTCACTTAATAAACTTTTCCCTTCCAGTGGTGCATTGATTTGAACTTTTCAAATTACATTTTCAGGAAGGAAACACCGGTGATTTTCCCCGGTTCTGCTCATACAGATTCAACACTGATTTCTCCGTTCCATTTGCATTTATTAGGTTATGCCTTCCTGGACTTGAGTGATTCCAACAACTTGGATAGCCCAGCCTCTTTGTTCCCATTCAGTAACTCCAATGGATCGATCTCTTTCTTGACCATCAAAGCTGGTAAGATGCTAAAGCTGTAGACAATAGTAGTACAATAGTGAGACACAAGAAGCACGAATTTCTTTCTGGTGATTTTGAAGATTCCAACTGTTTCAAGGAGGTCATGAGTTAAAATATAATTTGACCGATTGTTGTAATATAACATAGGTCAGCTTACTTTTGTTCGATGAGCTGATATCAGTCAATTATCAGTGAGTCAATTAGACAGATACATGTATCTTGCCATTTAAATGCAACAGCGTGTATTTGAATTTCAACTGCGCCAAAACAAGTATTTTGGGGTTTTTTGTGCACAGGCAAACTAACAGCCGGCTCCACCTACCAAGTTCAGCTGACAGCAACCACTGAGGATGGACAGTACGGCATAGCCAAGGTCCAGTTCACTGTTGTGTCTGGTGTAACATCGTGCATATTCAGCCTGAACAGTGTCAGCTCGTACACCGAGTTGGAGACGGTAAGGGGTGGACAAACTCACATGACGTTGCTTTTGAGTCAAGACCTCCGATAATACCTGTACTCCAACGGATTTGGGGCATTTTGACAAAGTGTATTAATAGTGCTGGCATGACGAGTGAATTTTGTCCAGGCAATGCTTCAGTCTTGTGCATCATCATCATCAGATAGATGCTTGGTGCAGGTTTAGAGTCTTAGAACTCACATCGCCAGCTGATGCTATATTATCCAAATTCTCTTCCTCCAGGTGGTGTACACGGTTGAGAAGTGCGTTGCCGATGAGTCAGCCTATCCACTGAGTTACCGCGTCTTCCTGGTGAGTGGTGGCAGGAGACAGACTGTCACTTCACAGACCAATGACCCGGCCATTGAAGGCGTCGGCAAAGCAGCTACAGAAGAGGGCTCCAGCTCTAACACCTTCGCAGCAGAGGTTGGTGTAAAGTTCAGTTTATTTTTCTGTCAGTGAATCATTCCGGGGAACCCTTCCTATTCCCTTCTACCCAAGAGCTAGTTTTAATTCCTCATTATGACAGACCCAATCGCCCATCAGCTACTCTCTGTGGATCATGGACATTGGCTTTGTCATTTCAATTCTGTTTCAGTGTATTACATGTAATCTTCTTGTAATACTTCCTGGGAACATCTACTTAAAAGACAACTCGAGAGTTTTGTATTATACATTAAAGTTACTTGATCGATAGGTCCGTAGGATAACACAAATACAATCTTCTTTTTGGCACAATGAATCTCCAGTTTCCCGGCTTCTTTATTTGAAGTAATTAAGAATTCAGAACTTGCCTTCTCAAAAAAAACTTTTCTGCACTGTTTACCCATGTTTTCTTACAAGATGTATTTCTCAAGATGGAGGGTTGAAAGGATGTAACAAAAGAAAAATAATTTTGCTTTGCTAAACAGTGTTTAATACAGAAGTGCAGAAATTGTGATTGTCCTTAAGAATGCTAGAAGGATCTAGCATCTGTGTAGGATCCGATCGCAAACTGGCAATGAAAAGGATACCTGTTGTGACAAATTACTCATTACATGGTTCCTGCTCTCCTCATGTCTCTCACCTTTCAACAGGTTTGTGATGCGTACAATAGCTGCAGTTTCTTCTACCACACTGTCAGTGTGTCTGTCATCCAGGAATGCTCCGCTGCCTTCTTCGCTCAGCTTTTGGAAGAGCTGGTCACAGTGGAAAAGTACAAACGTGAGTTACTCTCTTTACTGATTGTGGATTGGTAGCTTTTTATCATGCCCCTTGAGAGACAGAATGCAAAATGAAGACTACGGGACGCTTAAGGGTCACATTAATTGAGCCTCATGTGCATGCTGTGTCTCTTTGAAACACTATAGGCCTATAGAGAGAAATAGAAGTGGAAGAGTCGGTTGTTAATTGGATATTATGATTTACTCTCAATCATATTTGCTGATTTCTTTCGGCAGAAAACTACGTTAACGCTTTCGTCAACTTCAATGAGGTTCAGAGTAAGGTAGGTGCTTCAGTCATCAATAATGTGACAAGACTACATTAATTTGCTCATAAATGCATTCAACTTTGATGGATATGATTGTTGCAAATGAGTTCTGAATATCTGAGGTTCAGGCTGCGTTCCAGTTATGCCATTGGAGTGAATGTAACCCACTGTGGAATGTGGAATTGAATTGAGCTCTGCAAGCAAAGGTTATACTAAGTGAATCTGTCCCAAAGGGTCCCAAAGTCCCAAAGGGTACAAGTCTTTATTTTTACCTGCATTTACAGTGCGCCAACAGCACTGACTCCAGGCGCCGTAGACGCTCTGTCTCGACAACGGATACAACCACAGATGAGGCTTCGGAGCAACTGTCACTGGTACTCAGCAGTATAGAATCCAGTGTGATGGACACCACCTCAGCTCAGTTGCTGATTGACCAGTGCAATTACATCAACACCGCAGACTTGGCTCCAGCTGATAAAAGTATGTATGAGGATGTAAATTCGTAGGCTTTTATGCAAACAGTAGATAATAATCGATAAAGTGCAATGCAAAAATTGATTTGATGAGGTGATAAGGTGACAGATTAACTGAATAATTTATTTGTCATGATCTGCGATTCCCAGTTTAGACGACAGTGTTTGTTCAGATCTTGTGCAGTGTGACCTGAGTTTTAGCAAAATTGTGTCTTGTCACTTGAAGTGGTCAAGTAATGCCGACTTCACAGGCATAATAGGGCAGACTAATTTATTCCAATCGATCTTTATCACTGGAAATATTGGTACATAAAACGATGTCAGTGTGATATTTCAGTGAAGTGTGATTGGGCAGATTGACAGGAAAAAATCACTTTTCAGATAGCGGGATCTTTTGCCAGCATTAAATATGTGCATCTTTTTTCCAACACAGCAAAAGCACAGAGTCTGATAAAGATAGGACATAGCCTTAAACGTTTAACCAATGCATATTTCCAGAGATGGCATTCTTCCGATAAACTGTGTGACTGAACAAGCAGATATCAATCACTGGATGTAATTCAGACTCTGCAATTCAATGTAATTGAGGACTATTCCACAGCTTCTGCAAATATGTTTGACATAGAACAATATGGCATTAGCATCCTTTTTCATTTTTCTCCTCATTTTCAAGGCGTCTTCATTGGAGTCTTGGTTGACCTCGTCGCCGTCTTCCAGGACGCCGGAGAGACTGTCCCAGATGACAGTGCCAGCATCGTTCTGGACAAGGCTACCGAAATTAGACGCAGTCTGAATGCAACCCACTATGCCAACGTCATCGCTACCATCACGTAAGTCGACAACCTAGCCGTTGCGCCAAAGTACCCTGCCTTGGCGTGTGCTCTGGACTCGCACTGAGTTGCGAGATAGTTTTGCACGTACATTACTCTGAGCTAACATCCAATCTTAAAATTAGCAAGCAATGCAAGAGTACCCTTGGTGTAATTGATCCATATAGGTCCAGCCGTTCATGCATTCAGGAGTGATCTCTTTGTAGCAAGAGGAGCATGCTCAAAAGCAGCTCTTAAGACAACATCAGCACTCCTATGCAGTTCTGTGGTTTAGTATCCTCAAAATAACTGTGGGAGCTGTCCTGCTGCTAGGTCCATTCTGAGTGAATTCCACTGAATTCATATGCAGTCTTTTGAAACTTGTATTGAGCATTTCAATTCCACATTAGTCGTTTACATTCAAAGTGGACTGTATTCCATGTTTGATCGCTCCTCAATTGTGCTAATAGGCATTTGACTCAATCAGCTATTTTACACTGAAACCCTGGTTATTCTGACGATTGCCATTAATAGGACTCTGACTGACAGCCTTAGCCAGGCACAGTTGAGCCAACTGGAGCTGGGTGCTGTAGCCCTGGAGACCACTTCCTCTGCCATGACCAGCTCAGTGCAGCGGGCCATACCCAACGGCATCTTCAGGTCCAAGTCATCGGGAGGGAACGCTGTTGACTTTGGTAGTGCCCTGGCATCAAGGTAAACATGCTAAAGTCGTGATGGTAGAGTCTTTTTTTCAGTGGACGGTGTGTTCAGATAACTTGGCACACACTTTAATTTGCACTTATCCTCAGAGAAACAAAGATTTTTTCTCCGAACTGGTGCAGATGATGAGTTTTCATACAATTGGTTGAAACAAAGAGCCTTTCTCAAAGAGCACAAAGTATTCACAGCACCTGAGAGGATAGAAACTGACATTGCAGTTATCTAATGATGTACAAAGGCTGTCGTAAGACAGTCAAAGAGGTAACATAAAGAGAGGAACTCAAGCTCTCTTTAGATTCATTGAAGGGAATTTACAGTCTTTAAGATTGGTTTTCTGAAGCTTTCATTAGTTTTGTCTTTAATAAGAGAGCAAACTAATTTGGGGGTAAATTGTTGACAGTCCATCAGGTATTAATGCAGCCTTTCTCCGCCGCTCTCATCTGACTGATATGCAGATTTAGCGCTGACTGGGCTTGCAGCACCGGTAGCTGCTCCGGGGTGACCGTCAGCTTTGAGCACTGGGAGACTGGACAGGATGAATTTTCCCTGACGGCTGCAGATCAGGCCAGAGTAGCCGCTGATATCACAGACATCAAACTGCTGGATCCATCATCAGGTACAGAAGTAAAGTTCGGTACTCAGCTGAAACCATTATAAACACCAAAGTGTTTGTCTTGAAAAGTGATCCGATTGCATAACAAACCACGGACCTTATTACTTTGTGAAGGCATTTTACACCAGCATTTTGTGAGGTACAAAAGGCAAAATGTCATTGCATATATAATTGAGAAAAAAATTAATAATATTGCTATACTGAAATTTTCCTCATTCTGGTCCCTCATAAAAACCAACAGTTTAAAAAGGTTTAATGGCAGGTTTCATCTGCATTTCATCCTTAAGCTTTTATACGGTTACAAATAACTGGTAACTGATGATCTGATACTCATTTATGTATACTAAACTTATTCACTTTGGTTGACCTGTCAGAAACCAATAGAATTTCCTTGCAGAAGTACGGCCATGTGTGAAGAGCTTGGCTTTGGCCATGAATTGGCCAAATCCGTCGCCCTCAGATGCCTGGGATACCACCTCCCGTGGCAAAAGAGGCAGCCCAGTTTTCATACTTAATCTGCTTTTTTTCTCCCTTTAGGTGAGGAGCTTACGATCGCCAACCTGACGGAGCGCATCTCCATCACCCTGAGCGTGACACTGCCCCAGGCTGGCAAGACCTATGAGTGCCATTACTGGGACACAGTGGGCCAGGCCTGGTCAAACGATGGTCTGGAGACCGTCCTGAATGCAAGCAGCAGTTCAGAGGTGGAGTGTCTGACTGATCACCTGACGGCATTCACTCTGCTGACTGTTGATGAACCTACCAGTGACTCGCCGACTGTGGCGACAGATCAGGTGACAGATGCAACCACAAGTCCCCCAACAGGTTGGTGACAATTAAATGAAACTTATATGCATGAGTGGACTAATTGTTTCAATCTGACCAGTGCTGCTATGTATTGATTCAGAGGTTTATTGCTTCCTGAGATATCGTTTCACGTACATGAGACAAAACTCACTGGACAGAACCTAGACCTGTAAACTTCGGAGTAATTTTTGATCCAATATAAAAACAAAGCTGCCCAAATTAAAAATTATCGATGCAGATATATCCTTTTATGTATAAATACATGAAAATGTCAGGTCCTACGTTAAAGGGTAATCTCTAGGGAAATGCACAGAGCCAGTGGTTCTGGAATTGTATTTGTCAGGCAAATATTAAATCTGTCTCACTAGTTAATATTTGATATTAATATTTGATATTATATTTTTTAAGAGAATGGTCTTTCTTCTTTCGTTTCAGTTCACTATGTTACCACTGTGGACGCCGGGCCAGTAGGTAAGTTAATAGTGGAGTCATTATGTCAGTATAGTCAATAACTGAGTCACTTGACATTATAGAGTGCCCAGTGGAATAACTGCCCAAAAGGAACCAACAGAATGTTAACCTATCGGAAGTGGAAGTTGGAGGGGTTGTTCACAAGCATACATCACCGATAAATTTGATGATGATGATATTTAAAATTTCCCTGATTTTTGTTTGCAGATGTACCAGAGGACAACAATTCTTCCACTACCATTATTATTGTGGTTGTGTGTGTTGTTGTTGCTGTTGCTCTTCTGGTCGTCATCGGTGCCATCGTCATCGTCAAAGCCAAGAAGAAGAGTAAGGTGGCCGCCTCCGATCCCAACATGAATGGGACAGACGCTGAGGCTCCCAGGCAGCCTGAGGAGGCTGTACCGGCGCGCCCGGAGCAGTGGGCGTCCCAGCGGCCGACCACGCCCCGCAGGTCTCCCAGCCCACAGCAGGCCCCGGTGTTGCAGCAACAGCAGCAGGTGCAGGTGGTCACGGTGCCCGTGGCGCTGGAGACTGCTCCCCTGCACAGTCTCCCTCCCCCGGCCTCCCCACACCTGGTGGCTGATATGGAGGACACAGCCCCACCCCCAGTGTACATCCCACCAACCCAGAGTCTGGACATTACACTCCCCATCACTGATGTGTCTTAGATATGATAAACAAACTTACAAAATCTGATGATCAGAACCAAACAGGTTTGAAGGATAAATGATTTCAAATACACATCGACACCAGGGCCTACAGCGTAGTGTGTCTTACAGGTTGCAGTTCCAACTAGATTTTATGATGATTATCAAACTGTCTTCTTTGAATTGTCACTTGTGAGAATTTGTCAAATGTTTGAAATAATTTAAACAAAAGCAATAAATGAAGTTGTTTTAAAGCAAAGAAGATCGTTAAAACTTAAAGGTATGACTCAGACCAACAATTATTTTGAATTACCTAATGTGTGAAGTAGTTTTCAAAGTTCTGTGTTCTTTCATTAAGGTAAGCTCAATCCACGGACTAAGCTTTACTCTGTTATACAGCAATAACTATTTGGAAAGAGGTTTGCAGTGTTGCATATGCTGTATTTTGATCACATTCTTACAGTTTCTCACAGAGATTTGCTCACTAACTATTTTTCATGGTTTTCTCTGGGTACATTGAGTATTCTGCCTGTTGAAATCTGCAGGTTTAGTTTTACAAAGTCGCACGACAGAAACTCTACTAATCACTTTCGTTCGAATTGCATGTCTCTTATAATATGTTGCAAGAATCTCGAGCAGACCTGCATGCCTATACATGAAGTTGATTATTTGTAGCCTGGCTAGGGACAAGGACAGAAGACCTTTGTTGTGTACCTTGTGTGGGAGATGCCTTTGTACTTGGGCCTGACTTGAGGTATCTTTTTGGTGTGACTCGTTTACAGTATTGAAAAGGATTTCAGTATTGAATTATTTCGGGTAATTGTGCGTAAATTGACGGCTTTATGACAATCAGCAATATCTTCAAACGTATAATTTTTGTCCCTTATCCGTCCAGTGATATAGAAATTTCTTCAAATACGACACTGCTTCTGGGAAGATCGATTTTCAGCTGATTTATTTTATGTTTTATTGACTATCTTGTACAGATTTCATATCTTTGCCTTTGACATTGAAAACATTTCAGACATGTTGAATTTAGATTTTATATTCTATAGATTTAATTAACATTCTCTAAGTCTTTACTACGCTGTACTTGTATAGACGTGAATTTTGAGTATGCGTGTGTAGTAAATAATACAATTCCACTGGAAGTTATTTTTATTGAAGAGAAAGTTTTAAATAAAGAGCGTGGACTTTTACAGAGTTTGAAATGAATTGCTGTGACCTTTTACTGCCTGTGACACTGTTTGGCCAGTTTTGTTGGGCACAAATTCAAAATCTATTGATCAGATGACCAGATAGTTTTTAGAAATGTACAATACATTTACCTTGAAAATGCAGTGTTTTCTTTCTGTTTGATTAAATCTCTGCTACGAAAATAATTCTTGAGACTTTTTTTTCAAAAAGGAAAACTGACGTCAACATGGGAGGGCTGACGAAAATATATACCCTAGCAAAGCAACGTGGACCAAAGAAAAAATCGAGTGGAAAAAAGTATTACGAGTCGTCGGCATAGTAATTCAAGAGATTTGGCAACCTCAGTTTACCTATGTATGATTGTGTTAGCGTGAATTGCGAATAAAACTACAACACACAGTTAATGGTCCATGCTCAGTGCTACTTTGTCCAGCGATTGACCAAAGTGGCCCCATCCTTTCCCCGCCTTTCCCATCAAACACTGGACCACTTATTGTGCAGCTAATCACAATCCTTACCAAGCAATTTTCCCCAGATGCAGTTCACTTTAGAGAGAGAGACACCTTCGATCATGACGTTTGATACGTCTGACTCAAACAGCATCATCAAATAGGACAGAATTTCTATTGAGGCTAATTCAAAAGAAACTAAAGGCTAGCTAAACAACAAGCAACCAATTAATGTATTACGAGTGATTGTAATTTTTTTTAAAGCCTGAATTTTCTCGGAAAAGGGGCTTTAGAAAACATTTGTTAGTATATCAATTTACAGAAACTGAAAAATTACCGGACCCACAAGAAAATATCCTGCCAAAAACTGACCCATAACTTTTGAAAATCTAAAATGCTTGAAGGTTGCACTGCACCAAATATGCGCCAATAGAAACAGTGCAAAATTGGACCGAAATAGTGCCGCCTGTTGACTATTGGAAAGAGGCTGGCCTCCGGTTTTTCACAGGAAGTTCAAAATTATGGCCATAATTTCACCTTTGCCCTACTCAGGGCCTTTTATTCGTGTTTCTCTTTTGTATTACTTTAAATTTAACAAAGACAGAAATCAATACATGGTCAATTCACATTAGTCACTACGGTAATCAATTACACGGCAAAGAAAAAAAACCCCCATTTAACACTGAATTTAGCAGAATTTCCGTCAGAGGTAAAAATAAATCTGTCTGAGGCATAATATCTTTTTAAATCGTCTTTAAACAATAAAAATGATTGTTACCCCCCTTCAGTTTCCTCTTACAAATATGGAAGTGGCAAAGCAAAAGAATTAAATTGAGTACGTTCCTGGAGTTATTAGAAATTGCGAAATGGATAGTTTTGTTATCCAAAAGCGTATCAATGGTCAGGGTAGTTTTCAGCCAATCGCCGACCTGATTCGAAAAAGAGGTGGAAAACACTTACAAGTACAAAAAGATGCATCATGGTTTCACTCTTAGCTCGACAAAACGAACACAAGTCATTATCTCTTTCACCAACTTTAAACAAATAAGAGTTAGCAGCCAAATTCTGTGAATAAGTCTATATTGAAACCATCGCAATTTAGTATCCCATGTTAACTGAAAGGGCAAATTGCATAACTTCAACCATTCCGTGAAAGGAAGATTACAAGCCAGCTTCATTTGCCATCTATCAATAAACCTATGGACAACCTTCATTGCAGAGGAAAGAATATGATACAGACAAGTAGGGCTTTTTTATCCAGCATAAGTAACTGCAAAATTAAAAGAAATTGGGGAATTGACCTGTGACAATGTGCTTCGAAAAGATTTTCAAACAGTATTGATAATCCGCTGTACTCAAAAAAAAAAGGTCCTGATGTCAAATTTTAGCATAAGTTATCTAGGCTTAAGTTATCTAGGCTCACTATCGAGCAGGTCGCTTACGACATTGACTCCTTTTGCTCATAAAAAAATACACTTATTGCCAATCGTAATTCTATAGTTGTACTACAAAACATTTTCAAGCACATCCCGTCCTTGAGAAGGGGCATGACACTGAACAGGAGGACTCCAGGCTTTAAAACGTCAATCCAAAACTGATTTGGATACATTACATTATGGAGCGTCAAAAGTGGACAACCCCATTTTCTCATTTTCTGCTAGTAGATTTTCGGGATTTTGGACTTCGCCTTAAGCATTTTCAAAAAACGCAATTTTCCTCAAGGAGAAATTTTGAGTTTACTTTAACAACTCTCGTGGCGTGTCAAAAGTGGACAACTAAAAACTTCAAATTCCCACTGGCAAAATTACTGTCCTGCTCCAAAGGTGGACAACCCCATTTTCTCATTTTTGCTTGTAGGTTTTCGGGTTTTGGGAATGTGCGTAATGTGCATATTCAAAAACTCAATTTTCTGCTAGCAAAAATTCGGAATTTACTTAAAGAAGTCTTCGTGGCGCGTCAAAAGTGGACAACGAATAGAAATATTGCTATTCAACATCTACGGATCCACGTACACTTAGTAAGAGCTTCAATGTATATAAACTTAAATCATTCATCTTGATAACACCGCCATGTTTATAATCTCGAATCATTTGATTCCTGGTAACTCTGTCTACCCCTTCCATATAAATTTATACAGCATAGTATTTAAATTCTCAATAATATCTGGGGACGGAACTGGAAGAACCAAAATCAAAAAGGTAAATTTGAATAAGATAAGTGATTTAACAACTGTGACTCGACCAAGAACCGTTAAATTTCTCTTAGACCAATGATCGATTAAAATCGCGGTGGTTTCAAGCACTCTACTATAATTTATGATAGTCATATTATCGAGATTGACGGTAAAAATCAATGCCCAGGGCTGTAAAACTATCCTCAGCGCAAACTCAATGGACATAAATATGCTTACAGAGGCGTTTCTGACGTCTCTTACTGCCACGGATCCACATAGCATAAATTTTATCTATGTTCACTCTGAGACCAGAGGCATTACCCAAATCACCCCAAATCGTAAAATCTCTATCAAAAGACTGCTCTGTACCATCTAAGAAGAATACTGTATCATCAGCGTACTGAGAAAGCTTACACTCTTTATCGTCTACTGAAATGCCTTAAGAATTTTGTCATTTCGAACAAGCATACCATTATTTTCCGCACACAAAGAAACAAACTCAAACCGGCTCTTGACGACAACCCGGCTCTATCTTAAACAATTCTGGTAAAAAAAACCATTTACAAACACCAAAGCGGTCGCACCACTGTAAAGAACTTGAAACCATTCCTGAACAGAGGGTCCAAAATTAAAGAGATCCAACATCTCACTAATAAATTCATGTGAGACTGAATAAAAAGCTTTCTCAAAATCAATTAACAAAGACATCAGGAAAATTATTGTTCTCCGTATAATTAAGCAAATCATACATCAGGCGAATATTCTCCCGGTATAGCGTCCCTGCAAAAAAAATTGATTTTCATGGATACTTGTGGAGAGGCAGTTTTGAGTCTCTCTGAAATGAAATGGAGGCCCTAAATATTGTTCAACACCCACTGAACCAACAGTACTGTTATATACAGCCCATAGAATCTGCTCTTCTGTTTTTCCTACAAGTAGATGCTGGAAATGTTATACATCTCCCGCAGCTACGAGATCATCAGATAATAACACACCTACTACTAAATGAAACTATAACACTTTTTAAAATTAATGGGACATATGTCCATTTTGAACGAATTTGAGGTAAAACAATAAACCACCCAAAAGGTGATATTTCTGCAAACTCCAACCCCCTTGGCTTGTAAACAAGTTGTAGGCAAAGTGAAAATAGTATATTAGGAACAGATTAGCATGTAGTGGCTGGTGTGTGGAGAGGTGAGATGCCTGAATGGGCTGCACATTGCTTCGAAGTTCCAGCGAGTTCAATTATTTTTCTTCAACAGGATCTCAATCTCGTTTAGTGACTTAGTGTAATGGTTCGCACATTAAGCTAGTTGACCCATACTTAGTTGGTAACTACTAATTAGTTGGTAATGAAAATGAAAATTGTGCACGAGAGATACGCTCGAAAAAACGGGGATTTGTGCTGCCAAAATGTCTGCTTAATTTTTATTTAAGAAGTTCGAAAGTCCGGGAAGGTGGAACTATTATGATTATACATGTACGAGCAAATAACATCTTGGACACCCAAAAGGTTATACCTGTGTTTACTCATCAGTTTAGGTCTTTGGCCTAGCCTTTGATGAAAGCGGATTAGGTTCCCCTATAAACACGTATCACACCTTTGAAAATACCTGAAATAAAGGACCTTTGTTGTTCACAACCCTTTTCTTCGTTCTTCAACTTTTCCAGAACACATGTCACACAGTATATTTCGAACACAATCGCGAAATGTGGACGTTAGGTCCCTGTTTTCCTTCGTTTGTGACGACTTCGAACGTGTACGATACGTAAACGTAAACTTCCCATTGTATGTACTTGTGGCTTTTGGGTCCCAGAATGGTAAAACTGGAAACAATGCCTTAAAGCCAATAATCCAAATTCCTCAGCATAGCACCCACGTGCTTTGAAAATAACGCATTTTGCACGGTTAAGGTGCGGGTAAAATAATTGAAGTACACAATGGGCCCTAATCAATGAAGCTCCCAGGGGGGTCGAAGGGTTTGAGCCCTCAGGAATTGTCAAAGTTTTTACTTTCTAAAAACGAAGGCACGTTATTCAATTAGATATGTACACCCACATCTTAATAAGCTACTTATATGCCTTCCCAGCTAAGTTCCTGTGACGCAGCCGGGGAGCACCATCAGCTATTTGGAGGGTAAATTCCCTTCCAATCCGTCGACAGATCCTGGATGTGTTAATATAAGCCTCGTTTCAATATCGTCGTTTGTAACGCAGGCAGAACGCAAGACCTGCTGACGCAGACACGAGCGAAAGAGACGGTGTATGGTGTCATTCCACCGCAAAATTGAAAGAAAATGGCGTCGGAACTCCATGATTTTTTTCGAGGAAAATACCCTTTTAGATCGACTTTATCTCTTCACAGTGCCAAACCTCCACTCCAGTTCATGCAGCTATTTAGTTGATCACTAGGGTGTGATATAGGCCTGTAAGCATTAAAGACAATGGGCAAAATTCATGGACTTAAGTGCGAAGGACATTGTTGCATGCTGGTCACACCAGCATGCGTGTTTGTATGGGGATACCACAGCTATACTCGACGCAGACAGTGGGCGAAGTTGAACCTGGCTCAACGTTGCCAATCGTTAGCAGGCTGGTTTGCGCTTGTCTGCCTGGTCGGCTACACCTCTGACATGTTTTCATTTGTCTACGTTGCAATTCGCGTCTTGATTGCGTTGCTCTCTGCGTTTCTTACGTCGATTTGGAAACCAGGCTTTACTGGACCATGTTGGAACGAAACGTAACAAATAGGGGTACATACTCGGTTCGCCTGTCCCTTGTTCAGTGCAAAAAACAAACAAACAAACAAACAAAAAACCAGCTGATAGCTGATGTCGGCGAAAGACCAGGCAGCACACTGATAACGAATAAGGAAAGAAAATCTGAACTGAACTCACACCTATATTTATTTTGTACCTTGATCCTCTTTATGGACTTTTTCTTACCTGGATTGATAAGTTTTTGTTTACTGTCACACATAGGATGTCGTTTAAGCACATTTCAGGCCCAGCTCAGATCGAAATGCACAGCTTCAACTTAATTTTATTTTACAACCTCGTGCTCATGGAGCCAAACAGCACGATCGCTTCTTGCTGATTTCTGGCACCAGGGCTTTGCTTTTGTAACATTGAACACATCGCAGCAGGGCATTAAAACTTTCTACCATCCGTCATATTAATCAGATGAACTAGCTCTGTCGATACTGACAAAACGCAAAGCGCTACACTGTGGCAGATACTCTACATTGGGGCACTTTTGACATCGAAGGGAAAGCTATAGGATTAATTGCACGTCTTTGTCGCATACATACTGCAAACCTTTGGGTTTTTTTTTCAAAAAAGTGTATTGGTGGTCAGAGTACATTGCACACTTCATTTAAGTCACTGTGTTATTCTGAATACCGTGTGTTAAATACTATAGACTAGGGTATTGTCAGAATTCTGACGATTACGGCGTCGAAAATGAGAAGTACGTCACTTCAGACGTTTCCGTTTGTGGTCGAATTCATTCCCATTTCCGACCCAGCCTCACAACCGGACATAATAAACATAATAGAGCAGTACATATGTTTGGAAGCATGTCAGTTCTCTCCTTATGATAAATCATTCACTCTCTCCAGGATTTACTGTTAAAGCTTTCGTTTTGAAGGTGGACCCTGGGAACGAGGCTGGAACGAAGCTTATATGAAGTTTGATCATGCTCTCCGTAGGGTCAAAGGCCATTCGTGCACTAGGCGAAGTGATGGTACTTTACCTTTACCTCACTTTGCCAGTAATTCACATTGTGACAGATCCAAGCACAGCGAAAGACGAATTAGTCGGTCTTCTCAACATTGGTTAAAAGGGTTGACTGTGACCATGAAGTGCATCCGTGTAACCGCTCCTAAGGAGCCCCTGGTCTTCCTTGACAATGAACCGATCCCAGAAGCTCCTGATAATGGAGCTGTTGTGAAGGTACAGGAAGTGCTTTGTACTCATATATATGAGATTAGTGGACGAGACAAATAATAGAATAGACATATGATGTTAATTCGAGTTTCATATGGAACTATCTGAAACTCTGGCTTTTGCGCAAGTCTACGTGACACAATGGGTGCAAAAATACTCGAGTGTAGAAAATTGTACTTTAACGTTGATTCATGGTTAGCCCATAGTGATTTTACAAGTCGTTGAAGTTGTCGACGTCATTTCAATAATGGACCTAAAGATCTGCAACGGACTTAACATCCTGTGTCGTTTCGTATTTAAATCCTTGTTACATTTATTTTGTCTCCAAAACAAAATTGGTCAGATTTCCTACGGTGGAATGTGCCATTCGGATGTACACTTCTGGAATGGAGATGAAAATGTGGGTGGCGGCAAAGGTCTTCCACTCTTTAAGTACCCTTGCATCCCAGGTAGGCATATCACTATAATGATTAAAATGGTATTCAGTATTTATCTGCAGGGCATGAGATTAGTATATCTAAGCACAATGCAATCCCGGTCCGCATTGTCTTACATTCGAATTTGATTCCGAGTACAGAGAACAGTACCGCAACTCAACCTCACTGAGTTGAAAAGCGAGTTTAAAACCCGTACCCTTTTCAAATCTCGGCTTCGTTGTGCATGCGGATTTATGCACAGCTCTAGAATCACTTTCATGTGTTTACCACTGAACTGATTGAAAAGTCCACAGAAAAGCCGATTGGCGTAAAAACTGGGATACATATGGCGGGGTCACTCGCTCCCCCATTTTTGGAGGGGGTAGAGGAAAACAGTAGCAAGCCCGACTATCAGTATGGATTCTTTTTTTTTTCCTTCTCTAATTTCTGAGTGGGGAGAACATGGGACAGGGTTTCATTGTCACCATTGCTGCGACACTGCATCACTGTCACTTAAACTGGTGCGAAAGAGGCGATCGCTTCAAACTGCCGCATCCGGGAACGTGGCAGGCAAAAAGGTTTTAAACTGGGTTTAAACCAACGTTTTGGGGAAAATCTCAATAGGTCAGAAGATATGGTGTTTCGAGCAGATAGTAACCGCTATAACACAAGTATTCCCATTTTCTTGCTTCAAGGACATGAAATAGCCGGCGTTCTTTTCTCTTTGGGTGACAGCGCCACCAAGAACAACGAGAGTGGTCTGAAGCCGGGAGATCGTGTGGTTGTCTATCCGTGGATCCATTGTCATGCATGTAGCTCATGCAAAGCTGGACATGGCGAGTTCTGCAAGGATGAAACCCTATTGCGATTGACGAGTATTGGACTGAGACGTGACGGCGGGTATGCAATAACTTGTCTAGTTCACCCCCCCGGAAAAAATATTCATGAGAGTGACATTTATGTTTTTGTTTTGGGACGATTCCTCTGTGATTCTGACCAATTTGTTTAATAGGCGAATCCAATGACGTCTCGCTGAATATTTCTGATACCCCCTTTCGGATCGTGTTGGGTTTTGTACGGAACAACTGTCACGTAACAGCGCCTCGGCTCCGCTCAACAGTTATCACAACGCATTTAGTCGGGGCCACCAAAAATGGCGAGTGAAAGCGCAACCATTCTGTAAAACCCAAGTGTTTGACTTCTAAACGCACATTAAACGCAAATATTTTTCAACACTTTTAAACATGTTGACACTAATAAACACATACGCCATGTTTGTGCTGAACACACTAATCTACTATATAAACACAACGTATGTTAAATATTTTGTTTAGCATATGTTAGGTTTTTAAACACTTTTTAATTATAAACTCGTTTTTGTGTTAATTACTTACACATCTAAATGTTTGTACAGGCTGTAACACCGTTTATACACTTTGACACAGTTATAAAGGATAGTCTTTATTAACTGCACATTTTTAAGTAACGATGACTTCACGTCTTCAAGTCACACCCAGTGGCGTAGAGATCAAGTGGCAAGCCAACCGCTACAACTGACTACGGGAACAAAAATTGGTTTAAATACTGTTGACAGACCTTACTTTTCAGAAAATTATCACCCATTCCAGATCCTGAAATATCTGTGCATGTTACATGTACGAACCTGTGCGCACGTGTACATACAGCGCATGCGCCTAGTCGTTTCTTAAACGCTGGGCGGTACAACTGAACGTATTGTCTAAACACAGTGCTTGTTTTTTGGTTTGATAAGCAAGTGATTATCCACTCTGTACCCACTATTATACGAACAGTTTAAATTAAATATTTACAACATGGGATTTGAATTTCATATCGGCACAAAAGAGTGTTGGCGGAAAATAATGGAATTCATGTTTTAAGCCGTAATAAACATGTATTTAATGTTCCCAATGATAAACCCTTTAGGCCCCTGTATGTTAAACACGTCCTTATCTAAACGCACCGCGTGTTCAAATGTTTGATGTGTTCAGTTTATAAACCACCAAACGTTCTTGGGTTTTACAAAGCACGGTTACCGGTATTCATCACAGCTGCATTCAGCGGAAATATAATTCTAATGCTTCATCCAAAGATTACTGAATGATAATGTCTTTAAACATCATGACAGTTGGTCAGGCCAGATATAGAACTGCTCACTCACTCATCTTCCCGGCTGGATCAATTTGAGCAAACTCGTTGGCTGAGGTGTGCCAGAGAGTTGGAGCACAGAGCAAGTCAGGTTTTTTCGCATATGCCGAAGTATCCCAACACATAGTTTCTCACATTCTCCCCAGATTTGCCCAGTTCGTTGCCGTGCCAGACGTGCTGTTCGTGGTCCCTGTGCCCGCACCCATACCTCTGCCAGTGGCCTGTCTTCTCCCCTGCAGTGGGGTAACTGCTTACCACGCTGTAGAAGAAGGCGTTGAGTTTGTGAAAAATGTCACCGAGATCACAGGTAGACGGTTATAGCTCAAAGTAGCGCGGCCGGACTCCAGTTTATGAGCGAGTGTACCTAGGGCATCATTCTCTTGGGTAAACAAAGTCCCTTCTTCTCAAAATATAAGGGGGTAGTTACGCAAGCCATTTGACAAACACAAATCTGGAAGGTTATGACCGGGGATGCAGATCTTTATCACAAGGGCAGCTGTGTTTATTTGATTGTGGGAATGTACCGGCCTCAAAATAAAACCCAACAGATTTGAAAGAACCTCATCAGCATAGCAGAGATTTTGATCTGCAATAATAGAAAAAAACGAATCCAATACGATACACTTTCTTGTTTCTGCAGGTGGTTGCTCTGTCTTGACGATCGGAGCGGGTGGAGTTGGCCAGTGGGGAATTCGTTTAGCCAGAGCTATGTACCCTCCAGAAACACAAATCATGTGCGCAGAAATCAAGGTTTGCTTCACCATTCCGACCCCTTGAAGAATACCTCCCACCTGAAGGCATTTGTATCTGCGGCAGGGAATTACTGAACAAGCGTCCACGGGAAATGAATGTATCCACCAGCCGGCTGAGCCGACTGAATGTTTTAATGTGACGCTCTTATGGGGGTGCTGTCATGAGTGTGTAGACCTTTTTTTCACCCACGTGACTAGATTGCTCTAAATGTAAACAATATCACCACGTGTGGACCGCCTTGGCCACGGTGATCGCATATATTCCTGTGGGCAGCTTCAACCATGTACATGTACAAGCGCACGCGTGAACGCTGCAGGGTGCAGACCACTAATTCAAGTGAGAATTT